GGAATTGGTTCGGTTGGTTGGGGGATTATTGGCGAAGAAGAAAACGGAAATCACTGACTAGAAGATTTTGGAGTTCGCTTATTTAATGCCCCGGAAGAAAGCAAAAACAAAAAATCCTTGGCTGAAAAAAGAAGGGGGTTTCGGGGTAAAAGAAGATTATTAAACCGTCGGCACTGCCGGAGTGAAGATTTAAAACAATTTTTTGAAAAGGTTTTCGGAGATAACTTTCTTCAAAAATTTGAAAGTTTTGCTAAAAAGTCTACTAATTTATTAAAGTATGATGAAACTAAGTTTTTTAATCCTTATATAACTAGGCATCAAGCACTAAGCGGCAAGGTTGAATTAGTCGAATTGCTCTACATCCTCCTCCATATCAGTAAATACCGTGGTTATAAGGAATTTTATCTTGACAATAGTCTTGAAGAAAAAAATGAAGAGAACAAAAAAATCTATGCGGCGGTTGGAGAGGTAAAAAAAATTTTCCAAGAAAATAATTATGGTTCAATAGCAGAAATGGTTATTAAAAATGAAAAATTTCGTCATTCCCAAAACAAAAAATTACTTTCCGCCCACAACCATAATCCCAACAAAGTTTATGAAAATAAAGAAGAAGTAAAGAAAAATCATAAACATTTTGTTTTTCCTCGTGAACTTTTGGTCGAAGAAATGCAAAAAATTTTGGAAAAACAAAGTGAATATTACCCCGAACTTAAAAAGAAATTTTCCTATACATTACTAGAAAATGGGAAATCAGAAACGAAAGATTTTTCAGCCCAAGAGATTATTAAATTAATAATTTTTCGCCAAAGAGACTTTGAAGATGGTCCAACCAGAAATGAGCCAAGAAGCCAAGAGAAAAAAGAAATCGCCCATTGAAAAAAACATAATCGCAATATTGCTTCCGAATCTTTTATTGAGACCACCGGTTATTGTCAATATTTTTCCGCTGAACAAAGAGGTTGACGTTGTTCATTTATTTATTGTTGTTATCAATTCATTAACGAGTTCTCTAAAATCGGCAATTTAGAAGAAAAGGAATTAGGGGGAATAGAAAAAGTAAAAGAAATTCACGGAAAAGTTTTCGAATGACTGATTTCTCCCGCCGGTTATCAACCTAAAACACTGAGCCGAGAGGAAAAAGAAAAAGGCGAAAAAAGAGAAACGTTGAGAAAACAACTCGAAACATTTCTTAATAAGTTAGTAGGAAAGGGGAATTATAGTTTTCCCAAAGGAATCGAATTTGAAACCGATTTCTTGGATTATTTAAAAGAAAATAGTAGTTTTTATCCTGCCCTTATAAAAAATTGTTCTTCTCAATTCTACTTAAACTACGAGGATTATAAAAAAACGATTTTCTACCAAATCGGTCGAATAATTTTCGAAAAAATAACTCCTCAACGGAGAAAAAATGAGTTAGATAGTTTAAGCCAAAAAGTGTATAGTTTAGAGGCTTTTGGGGATTGCCTAGCCAAATTAGAAAAAGTCTTAAAATCAGGTAAAAAAGAAAGAATAGAAAAATTAAAAATGCAAATGATAGAGTTTACTAATTCTGATAATATTTTCTATGAAAGTAAAAAAGCTGAGGTTCAGTCATTACTATCAAGATTAAACAATTATAGTAATAAACAGCAGAACAACAATTCACCAGAAAAATTTCCTTGAAAAGTGGTTGTTCCTGTTTCGTTGTTAGCAGTAATATTAATAATAACTGCTTTGGTAGTAATTAGAAAGAGAAAAAGAGTTAAAAGAAGTTATAATTAAAAATACTGATTCTGAAACTTCAAAAGTTTCCAACTGGTTGAGCGGGTTGGTGGTGGGTATAGATGGTGGATAAAGGAATAAAAAAAATAGAGAGAAGGTTTTGCTTTAAAGTATTCAATTGTCTTTCCTTGATGGATAATTTCTTGCCCTCAAACCTCTTCTGGCGGAGAAAATTTTAGGTTAAAAAGGTTTTACTCCAATCTTTAACTTCAATAAAATAAATCTTTTCCTTAGTTTTGCCACAAATTTCTATCTGTAATTCCTCAATCTCTGGTCAATTTTTCCCCAGTTTATCTCATTTGATTTTCTTGTTATTAGTCAATAGTTTGAGTACTTTCTCTTCTCCTGGTTCTCCCATTATTTCGACTGTTGATTGAGGAGAAATTGAATGCAGATGTTTCAATTTCTAGTTGCTGGGGGGTCAACAGCAAGTGGTTAGGCAACAGTAACTACTTCTTAGGAAAGGGAGTTTTCATTAGGCAATATTCTTTCATCTACTGAAATTAAAAAATAAAGTATTATGAATATAGAAAAGACCAACCATCAACCGCTGCCTAATAACCTTTCCTTTTCTCTTAAATGTCCGTGATGCCTAAAAATTATTACAGCCCAGAACTTTTCAGAAGAGCAATTAACAGTCACTTATCTCCAAAATTATTTTGCTAGTCAAGAAGAGCAATACAAAGAAAAGTTATTGGCAGAAATGCAAGAAATTATTGAAAATTTTCCCTTAGTTATCCAATTAAGAGAAGAAAATAACACTTTAAAATCTTTTATTGAAGGTTATAAATTAGGCAAAGAATTTGTGAAACCTACTCAAAAAGGTCAGGAATTTGAAGACTATGTTCATGAAAAACTCCAAGAAATTTTTAGTGGCAGTGACATTATTGAGAATATTACTCATATGCGCACCTCAGCCGGAACTCGGGCAGATGTTTTACAAACGGTTCGGAGTGGAAATGAATTCGAAAAAGTTATTGGAAAAATAGTTTATGAAACCAAAAAATTGATTGAGGAAATTCAAGAAGCAGATGGAATTATCCGACAAAGGGTATTAAGCCATATCTTCAATAACTATGACGAAATTATTCAAGTAACCGGAGGCAACTCCTTTCTCAACATTATTGTTGGGAGTGATAATGCCACTAATAACAAATTAACTCTTTCCGTACTAAAAGAAAAAGTAGAGGAACTGGAAAAAGAACTTCAAGCAAAAGGAAGCAATAACCAATCATTGGAGAAAACTAAATCTGAATTGGATGAAAAGGAAAAAGAATTACTGAACTTAAACAAGCAGTTGTTAAATGTTAAAGAGATAACTAAACAATGACAAATTAAAGGTTTTACTATTCAACAAGCCCAAGAGTGAGCAGATACTTTGGGAAATAATTTTAGTCCTGAAAATGATGCTCATTTTTGTACTTGGTTGCGAGATGCCAAACAACTAACGAGCAAAGAAATATTTAATTATGATATTGAGCAATTAAAAAAAGAGTATGTTGAGGATATACCTAGTCAGCAAACTGAAAAAGATTATGAATTGAGAAGAGAACAATTTAAAACATATTTGGGTTCTATTCCCAGTAATCCCCCTCCCCTTGACATGACTTCCCAATATGGTGGTGCTTATGAATTTAATATTGATACTGAAGAGTTAAATTTAGAAAGTGATGAAAATGAGCAAACCGCTCAAGTACAAATCTCTCCTAAAGATGAATGATACTATTAGTTCAACTCCGCCTAGCCAATAAAAATCTCTTTTCCAACCAAAAAAGTAACAATATTTTTAACGAACTCAGTAATTTTGCATTAATTTTTGTCATTTCTCGCTTAGATTACTCACAAAAAAATAACTAGGGTTGTCGAATTTAGCAACCAAAAAGAAAACTAATTTGTAATAAATACTTGTGATAAATTTACTATTACAATGCCAATAATTCTTTGTAGTTTAGTTTTAGTTTGAACCCTTGAAAACAAGGAATTAGAACTCTTTAATTAGTAATACAATATAAGAAGTTTATTTAGAGTTTATCTTTATATGATGGAAATATTTAAATAAAAGACCAAAAAAGGCAACTAGTACCTAAATACTTAAAATTAATAATATTACAAAATTAGAAAATAAACTAAGCCTTAATTACCTCTTTTAATATTTACCTAAATCCCTTATGAATACTAATAATATCTTGTATAGAAAAAAATGTCAAAACTACTTCACTTTTTTACCCAAAATACTAATTTTTAATAACTTAATCGAAGGAGAAATTTTATTAATTGATTTTTTTCCTGTTCCTAAGGAATTGATAGCATTCTTAACTTTAATTATTTTATCGCCATATTCTGGATAAATAGTTTGAAGATTTTCCTTTTTATCATAAACAAGTCCTATTATATTTATAGAAGAAACATTATCTTTGGTTGTTCCGGTATAAATTAAAGGAAGCCCGACCAACTCCATTAATTCGCTTTCCAAATTTTCTGAATAATCAAAAGTAAAAGTTTCATGAGGTCTTAATAATCATTGGTAATTTTCAGTCAACCAATTTCTATCACCACTTCCCTTCTTCCGAAGCAACTCAATATTTTTTACCTTTTCTGCCTTACCATCATTTTTAAACCCAAAACCAGCATATTTAGAAGTATCTCAAACAGTATAATTATCTCCTTTTTGCTTATCCCTCGCAATCAAAAAATTGTATTTCTCTCCGTATTCAAAATTAAGTTTTTCCAATCCTATTTTTTTCACTAATTTACTTAAAGAAATATTTTTCGGTAAATCAATTTTCTCGTTCTTCCTCAATTTCTCGCAAAAGTTAGAAAGAATTTCTTCTCCTTTTTTTCTATATCCAGCTCGCTCCGAAGCAATAAAATCTTTTTTTACCTTATGATCTGAAACCCAAGAAATATAAGGATAATGAATATTTCCACTTTGTCCTTTAACTCTTTCGTAATATTCACTTTCGGTTAAAACTTTTTTGATTTCAATAATTATTTCTTTAATTTCTTTTTTATCTTCTGAGGTTTG